AATCCCCGAAGCCACCTGAGCCTCATCCCAAGCTAAACCCAGCCCCAACTCCGAAACCCTCAGACATTTGGGAACTTAAAGCAGGGAAAGGAAGAGCAGAGCGAACCACCCCCCACCTGGGAAGAAAAGGGTGGACGCGAACAGAACCAAAGTCAAAGCGACCAACCCCCCAAATCCTGGTCCCCAAAACCCAAACGTGACAGCTCTGGAGCTTCCAAATGGGTGACCAGCCTGGCAAGTTGCAACAAGTTAAATCTAGTATGCAATGCAGCCACTGCCTGACTCCTGAGGTCTTCAGACAAAAAATGGGTAAACTGGAGCACAGGCGGAAAACAAATCCCGCAAGACTCCGGGTCGTAGGTGTCACCAACCCAACAGGCAGCATAACGGAAGCAGTATGGATGAATGTCTCCCTGAGTCAGAGGCAACGAACAACCTTCAACATCGTACAAGACTAGAGAGGTCTCAGAAGACACACTCATAGTAACCCCGAGCCCAATGGGGTTTTCCAGGGCCCGTAGGGGGAAGTAAGCCCTACGGGAAACCCAGGAACCGGGCTAGCCAAGAGGCTTAAACCCTGTTTATTAGCAGGCAAACTGACCACCAGTAGCAGTCGTGAAGCCTCGAGGGAAACAGAGGAGGGCCATCAACACATCCTAGACATACCTAATGAGAAGCTAGGCAGACCTCCTCCATAAACAAAATAAAAAACGATATGTATAACAAAAAAAAATAAAAACGAAGTCACACAAACAAACGAATTCGCAGCCAGAGAGAACTGTCAGCCGCCATGTGGGTAAACTGCGCCGACCACTGTGCGTCCTGCCCCACAACAAATCACTCACAACCCGGGGCAAGACGGAAAGCCCAAGACCCCCAATGGACCCCAAGGGCGAAGCGTACGCCAAGCAACGTAGCCCTCAAATGGGAGCGAGTCCCTAATGCCCCAGGGAAGAGAACCCTGAAATGCAAGGGTAGTACTTACAAGGCACCTAGGGATGATTACCCTAAACGCATGCAGCCCCGCATACAAAGAAACACCTGGCCACCACACCACACACACTGCAGGTACAGCCAAACAGGACAATATCCAGAACAGAAAAGGGAGGCCAGAGATGACCGCTGACATCATGCACATCAGTCGAGAACTGAGGTGGGGAGTCTGAGCCGGCTCCACCTACCCCCCTATTTTGGGAGGAGGGCTCTAATGAGTGCGTGAGCTAGTTGGATGATGTTTTGCTTGTTTGTTTTCATTTTGGGGAGTTATTTTGCCTTGTTCAGACATAGGATGCAATTTTCACTAGCTTGTGGTTTGTTTTGTTTCGCCTATCTTTCTGGGTGCCTTCCCTCGGTTGATGGCAAATACCCAGTATGACATACTCTAAATGTAGAGTGCTCATAGGCCATTGTTCCCTGCACCTCTCTGAGGGGACCAGGGTTCTGGCTCGTGATTCCCAGTAGGCATAGAACTCCTGTGACTGATGACACCAAACTAATACAATGGAACCTCGGCTTATGAATGCCCCTATTTATGAATTTTTCAGGTTACGAGCTCAATTTCTTCGTAAAATTCTATTAGGTTTACGAGCTTTGCCTCGAGTTGCGAGATTGTTGATACACGTATGGGTCGGCCGAGCATGTGGTTCCTGGTGGAACGGGTGCCTCCCTCGTAGTGACAATCACATTTGAATTCTTTGTAAAGAATTACATTGTTTTTGAGCTTTTTTGTTTCTAAACATAAAAGTAATTATTATATACCATGCCTTGGGTCCAAAGAAAGTCAGTGGTAAGGTTCAATCTAAGAAAATACATGTAAAGATGACCACAGAGAAAAAACAAGTCTCTACGGAAAGGTTCTAGTGAGAAAAACAAGCAGTGAGCCACAACCAGATTCTAGTGGGATGCAAGCATAACGTAGGGTAGAGAGAACCGCAAAGAAGTCATCACTGCCTGATGTTATAATGGAAGGGAGGGACTATTTTCCCAAACACTAACACCTCTCCTCCTCCCCTCCTCACCATCTTCCATATGCCAAAAAGTCATCAATAAAAGTAAGCTATAACGTGTACATACTATAGTACAGCTTTCAATGTGCTTTAATATACCTACTAATCTCTCTCAAATTTTCTTACAATATACCTGTTAACATTTTATAAATTTTGCTAGAAATTACTTACTAAATATTATCTGTTAGATTAAGGACCTGCCCGAAACGCTGTGCGTACTAGTGGCTTTATAAAAATGTAAACACATCATGCTATTTACTCTCATAAACCTAATGTAACTTACATATATATACAGTACATATAAATAAATAAAAATAAATAGTATAAAATATTTATGTTTATTATGGATGAAATGTATTTTGAAGTTAATATTTTTGGGAGTGTGGAACTGATTAATTCAATTTACATTATTTCTTATGGGAAAATTTATTTTGGGTTACGAATTTATGGGTTACGAGACTTTTCTGGGAATGGATTAAATTCATAAACGAAGGTACCACTGTATTGCACATGTCAGTTTGGATAGCTTCAGATAGCCGACAGGGCTCCCTACAGAAAAAACACTGAAACTTTAAAAAAGGTATTATGAAACAAATAAATGTACATAAATCAACTTTTTAGACTTGTTTATAGTAGACTTTTTGAAGTACAGTACATCAGGTTTTATTACATAACATTGTAAGGCTAAGATGTTAGTGTTGAATCCCATCAAGTTAAAACTACTAGCTAATACCAACCATGAAATATTTAGTACAGTACATGTTTGAACAAATTTAGAAAAATATTTAATACAGTGGCACCTCGACTTACGATTGCCCCTACTTACGATAATTTCGAGTTACGATGTAAATTTCATCGAAAAATGCGACTCGACATCCGATGGTGTCGTCGACTTACGATATTTGTTGGTACACGTTCGGGTCGACCGAGCGCGTGGTTCCCGGTCACGCGGCCGACCTGCCTCAGTTTACTACAGCTGCCCGCTTAGTGACGATCGCGCCTATAAGAAATTTTGCTTTTGTGGTGATTTTTTGCATTTTGAACATTAAAGTAATTATTATATATCACGCCATGAGTCCCAGGAAAGTCAGTGGTAAGGCTCAACATATGAGATCCCATGTAAGGATGACCATAGAGCAGAAACAAGAGATCATTCGTAAATATGAAGATGGTGTGCGGGTTGTTGGACTGGCTAGGCAGTACAACAAATCTCAGTCAACGATATCCACCATACTGGCTAAGAAAAAGGACATTATGGGTGCTAAAGTGATGCATCATTACAGACAAATGTTAAAACGAAGGGAAAAACAAATGTCTCTTGACAAATTTGTAGTGAGACAAACAAGCACTGAACCACAACCAGGTCCTAGTGGTATTCAGGCAAAACGTAGGAGAGAGAGTACCCCAGAGAAAACATCACTGCCTGATGTGATAATGGAAGGGGACTCCCCTTCCAAACAGTAACAACTCTCCTCCTCCCCCCTCATCACCATCTTCCATATGCCATCAAGAGCCCTCCATAAAGGTAAGATAAACTTAGGTACTGTATTGTAGTTAGAAAAAACATTGTATTCAGTATAAAATGTATTTGTATGTTAATATTTTGGAGGGTGGGGAACGGATTAATTCAAATCCCTTTATTTCTTATGGGAAAAATCGCTTCGACTTACGATATTTCGACTTACGATCCGTCTCTGGGAACGGATTAGCATCGTAAGTCGAGGCCCCATTGTATTCATCCTGCAAATCATGGCATGCAGGTCTTTGTTCCCTTGGTTATGTTGGGTTTGGCTGAGCGAAGTTATCAAGAACACTTAGCCTCGGGAATACCACTTCGGTAGGAATAGCCTTCCAGTACGTGTAGTAAGGGGGGGTTACATGAGTGAAGTATACAAATACAGTATAGTACAGTAGATAAAATGGTATAACAAAAGAGATATAAATGTAGTTTTAAATATATCAACACAAAACAATGGATATAAATTAGGTATGTTTAAATTCAGGAAAGATCTGGGTAAATATTGGAGTGTACTGATATGGATGGCTGCAATATACTGTACTGTGCTCTGCACCATACTCAACACATCCAGTTAGATGTAAACACTCCAATCATTAAGGAAACACAAAAACACTTCTGTATTCAAATATAATACAAGTGCCAAGGTAAACACAAAACTCACAGTGTGTCTACTGAGCAGAACAGTATACCAAACAAAACTTTTTTCCAAGCTCATACAGTGTTAGGTGGCGATGTTGGATTTTGTTAGGCAATAGTAGATTGTCAGAATTACTTAGCCAGTGGTTTGCCTAAGTTTAGTAGAAAGCAGACGGGTCATTTGACACTGCCACTTTTCTCTGTTGACATACTGGCTCAGTGGTTTTTCCTTATAATTACCTTACCTTTTTCTCTCTAAACAACATAGTCACATTCTCGTTTGGTAGTTAGCAAACAACTCGCCTCAATCTCTGCCGATCACTTTGCTTCACAACACCCTCGTCTCACAGGCAACTGTCCAGACCCTCATGAACTAAAGACTTAATGCACACGTCTAGTGCTGACGGAACCAGTGTCCATTATTACAACCCTATGAACATGTACATGAACATACACTACACAACCTGACATTTAATGATTCATTAATCCTAACCATCAATCTATTGCTCCGTTATGATGAATTAATGCTGCCTAGCAAACCTTTTCACTAAACTAACGTAATTAATATACCCAGAAAAGGAATAAGGTAACTATCAGAAGAAAGTGCTAGGTCTGTAGGACAATATACAGCACCGGGAAAGATGTGGTTGGCTTGAACGAGTATAGACAACAGTAATGGGGCGACTCGTCCTGACAACCCAAGGGAGAGGTTATGGAGGAGCGACTCAAGACACTTGTTTAAATACTCAGAACAACTTGAGCTTTGCTGGAAAACCTCTGTGAAATATTTTCTGGTCGTGCTAACACAGTTCTCCAACAACTCTTACACACACTGTCACCTTGAATGATTTTTGTCGAGAAAAAGATGGGAACATTCACGTACCGTAGAGTTGAGAAACATTTGACATCTAGAGCAGATTACAGCACGTTCGTGACGTGAATCCAGCTTTAAATTCGGATTGGAATTTGCATTTTTAGTTTATCAAAACGGGACTATGCAACATATACAGTTCTGAATTTACCTGAAATTATTAATATAAATATCTTCACATATATATATAAATTATATATATATATATATATATATATATATATATATATATATATATATATATATATATATATATATATATATATATATATATATAAAGAAAACACACACTTATATAACAATATACGAATCAGTGTTCGAAGACCTCGTCCAGCTCCTCGGGGGTCGGGTGCGTACCCAAGATACAGCACGCATTTCCCCTCTGAACAGCGACACTGAGGCGCTGGAACATGAAACTGGCCGCTCTTGGGTCTCTAGTCTTCCCAGTGAGTTCCTTGCCCAGCTCCTTCAGGAACTTAAGTGCACATTTACCCCAGGCGCCCAGAGTCTCAGAGCCTATTGGCACGAACCTGTAACAACGTTCTAGGTCCCTGTTCTTGTTAGTTTTCTGGGTCTCCTTGAAGGTGGCCGCCCCGCCTTCCTCAGCTGTGCTGTAAGGTAGATAGGTATCAGCCAATGTAGATGCACACGTGTAGTCCCACACGACCTGTTTACCTTCCCTCCACGGCTGCAGGGTGACTCCATCTGGGCGTTTTTGGCTGTTGTCAGGCCTACACAACTGAGGTTCCCTTTGTGCTGGGCACCCAGCTGAAGCCAAACTTCTCTTGATGATGTCATTGACTGCTTCATGTCTGGCAATCTTTCCCTGTGTCTTACGACAGATGAGACCATGGTTGCCGTATTGGTCTGCCCGTGCATGGCCGCAAATACACCGGTGCTCGGTGGAGATAGGAGCGGCAAGGTGCAGAGCAACACCAATACTTAGGGTCCGATGGTCCAGGCGGGTGCCCAAGGCGGAATTAGGGACTACCAACAGGAAGTACCCGGCATGGGGGGCTTACACAGCTAGGAGACGCGCTCTGTCCTCCGAAGCTGCCTCCAGCAATGCTTTGGCGATGTTCTCAACTATGGGGCTATCCCATTTGGCCTGTTTGCCGTCGTTTGGAAAAGTTGGTCGAGGATGTGAATTGGCTAGTGTCCCACTGACCACCTCCTTCCTCAAATTTGGGATCATGAATCCCAATGGAGTTCCTTGGTATTCTGGTAGTATTTCATTCACTAATTCACTTGTAGCACTGGTCAAGGATAAGAATGCCGGCAATGCTAACTGTGTCGCCTTGCGCATACCTATACCCCCGAGTCTAACTGGGAGCGTTGCTTGGTCCCATTGGTCATCTTGCAGGGAGAGGTTTAACACTTTCATAGTTATTGACTTTAGGAGTGAGTCATATTCCGCTAATTTTGGGCTGTCGAAGGAGGGAGCACACCTGAGGAAATAGGTAAGTCTGGGTAAAGCCAGGCACCTTGTGAGAAGGTACAGAGCATCGTGAGCATCCAAAGCCCCTATTCTTGCCTCTATCCTCCTCAGGTTGTTCAGCTTTTCTTCGAGGACTACCTCAATGGCGTTCGAGCCTAGAGGTGCCCCTAGCAGTACACTGTTGGTGGGAGCGATCACGGGGGCTCTTGGCAATAAGATTCGTACCGCATCTATGATTGGTTGGCTGGATGAGATGATTTTACACTTTGATGGGTTTAGGGTAAGGCCTAACTCCTCTCCCTTAGATTTCACTAGCAGTAGATCTTCTAGCAGGGAGCTAGGAGATAAATAAATAGGAGATAAAAAGTCTCTCAACTTTTTAAGACATAATTGTAACATGCTCGTGTCCGAAAGTAGACACAAATACAACAAAATTATTAATGATGGTGACAGAGTCCATTTCGTGTGATCTCTATTTCATGTTGGCCTCCAAATACATGATAGAGCTGATAAGTTAGCCAAAGAATCTGCCTTTAAAGGAGACTTTAAAGGAGTTTATTCAAATTCAAATGTTTATTCAGGTAAAGTACATACATACAAGATGTGATACAAATATTGATGAATTTATAGATAGAGCTAGTACATACAATGCCTAAAGCCACTATTACGCAAAGCGTTTCGGGCAGGAAAAACACTAAAGACTAAAACTTAATACTAATTGAGATTAGAGTATAAAATGTGTTGAGAAAATATAAAAATAAAAAAGGGGGAACATGGCAGAAAAACAGCAAAAAATACAATTTGGTCGACAAACAGCATTGTTTAAAAATAGCAGACATGGGTTGACATTATAGGGGTAAGGTAGGTTACAGGGAGTTAATTAGGTAGTGCTTAGTTTTTATCTTAAACTGGTTGAGAGAGGTACAGTCTTTAACATGATTGGGAAGGTCATTCCACATTCTGGGTCCCTTGATTTGTAGAGCATTTCTAGTTTGATTAAGTCGTATTCTTGGAATATCAAAAAGGTATTTGTTTCTGGTGTGGTGCTCATGGGTTCTGTTACAACCTTCAATGAAGCTTTTAAGGTCAGGATTGACATTACAGTTCAGCATTATATATTATATTATATATATATATATATATATATATATATATATATATATATATATATATATATATATATATATATATATATATAATAATACACATGAGAGGATGTGCAGTGATTTAATATCTAACATATTCAGAGATTTGAGTAGTGGTACCGAGTGATGTCTGGGACCAGAGTTGGATATTGTCCTAACAGCAGCTTTGTGTTGAGCAATTTGAGGACGTAAATGATTTTGGGTAGTAGAACGCCATGCACAAATACCATAGTTGAGACAAGGATAGATGAGAGAGTAATAGAGCCTCACTAGGGCAGGGCGAGGTACATAATATCTGATCTTAGAAAGAATGTCAACAGTTTTTTTAACTTTTTTTGATATGTTTCGAATGTGTCCCTGGAAATTCAGCTTGCGGTCAATGAGAACGTCAAAGAATTTGCCATCTACTTTGTTACAAATTTGAGTATTGTTTATCCTGAGATCTATTTGATTTGAGGATTTATTTCCAAACAAAATATAGAAAGTTTTGTCAATGTTGAGGGTGAGTTTGTTGGCAGTTAGCCAGTGATGGACTTTATTTAGCTCAGTATTCACTGTGACATTTAAAGCAAGGGGGGTCAGGACTGGAGTAAATGAAGGTTGTGTCGTCAGCAAATAGAATTGGCTTGAGGTGTTGGGAGGCATTTGGAAGGTCATTAATGTAGATGAGAAAGAGGAGAGGGCCAAGTATGCTGCCCTGAGGAACACCAATGTTAATGGGTAGGGTGGGAGAAATTGAATTATTCACAGAAACATACTGGAGCCTGTCAGTAAGGTAAGATTTGAGGTATTGCAGGTATTGACCTATGACTCCATAATGATGTAATTTAAGAAGAAGGTTTTGGTAGTTGAGTGTCAAAAGCCTTACGCAGGTTCACAAATAACCCAACAGGGAACCCATTTTTATCAAGAGCTGCATGTATCAAGTTAATCATACTAATAAGTGCATCCTTAGTGCTTTTTTGGGTCTGAAGCCATATTGACAAGAGCTTAGTATATTGTGTTTGGCTAGATAAGAGTAAAGCTGCTTGTAGATTAGTTTTTCAAATATTTTTGACAAGTTTGGCAGAATTGATATAGGTCTGTAATTGTTAACATCAGTGAGATCACCACATTTGTAACAGGGGTTACTCTCGCTTTTTTTAGAATATCTGGAAAGGTTTGGAGTTCAAGTGACTTGTTGAAGAGCAATGCAATAGCAGGAGCTAAAGATCTGGAGGCTTTTTTTGTAAATTAAAGTTGGTATCTCCTCAAGAGCACTTGACTTGATTTTAGGGGAAAGGATTATCTCATTAACATCAGTGGAATTTGCAGGCGTTAGGTACAGAGACTGTGGATAGTTACCTGTAAGATAGTCCTGAACATCAGTACTGGAAGATGGAATATCTTTTGCAAGAAATGACCCAATGGAAGAGAAGAACCTATTGAACTCAATAGCAGTATCAGAGGCTGTAAGCTGACCATCGTTATTAGTCAGGAGTATTGGTTTGTTATTTAAAATCTTCTTTGATCCCAATATTTGTGAAATTGTGCTCCGTGTTTTTTTAATGTTGCCCTTTGTTTGGGTAAATTTATCTTCGTAGTATTTAGTTTTGGATCTTCTAATTATTTTAGATAACAATGATGAGTAATTCTTTGGAGACGATTCCTAACCTATACTTCTTCTTAAGGTCATGTTTTTTTATTAATGGATTTAAGTATTCCCTTTGAAAGCCAAGGATTGTTTAGCCTTTTAGTTGAGACTTGTTTCGTTAGCATAGGACAGTGGGTATTATAAAGGCTGAGAGTTTTTTGAAGAAATGATTGCACTGCTAGGTTGATGTCCCTTATGTTACCCAATTCAGACTCCCAGTTGATATTAGCAGCAACAGCAATAAAATTGCCTATAGAAGTTACATTGTGCAGCCTAAAGCTTATCTTCCTTGTATCAAGAGGTGGTTTGTTAATGTTGGTTAGGAGAAATGTGGGGTAAAGGTCTGTGGTTCTATCAATGAGTATCCCTGAAGTAACCGGAGAGGTTATGTTAGTCCAGATGTGGTCAAGAGCCGTGGCAGTGATTGATAACTTATTGATAACTATAGAAATAAGGAAATAAGTAGTGTACTACATCAAATTCATATGCAGGCGATGAGTCACAATAACGTGGCTAAAGTAAGTTGACCAGACCACACACACACTAGAAGGTGAAGGGACGCCGACGTTTCGGTCCGTCCTGGACCATTCTCAAGTCGATACATCAAATTGTTTGGATGTGTGATAATGGTATGATAGACAGGATACTTAGGAACTACAAGAATTTTGCCCAAAGAGTGTAACACTTATATGCGGTGCTTACTATATTAACCTGCAATGTTAAATGGGATTCTTGTATTGTGATTTGCGTATTTGTACTCACTGAATTTGTGCGCCCCTTGAGGGACTTGAAGTAGAGGGGGTAGAAATAGCCTAAGCTACTCTATCCCTTTGAGATGTATTTTTTTATTGTCTCAGTAAACATACTTGAACTTTGAACCTTTAGGATTAAAATGTTATTGCTTTACCTGACCAGAAGCGGGAAAGGCAGACAGGCAAGCTTCTACTGCTGCAAATACTTTCTTCCATTTGGGTACAGACCTCCCAAGAGTCGTCTGTCTTTCGTGTCATTGTATTTTGCAGACACAATTATTGAATGTTGAGGCAGGTGACCATGTAGCGCAATTCACTAGCATCCTGGGGACGAAGGTTATTCGTTAGCCAAAGGAAATCTCCATATAAACATAGTTATAAGCTTCCAATTGCTCAGTGACATTTAGAAAATAATTTGGGATGGCTCCTGTCAGTAACACATTGAAGTGATCTACACAAAGACTTGAATTGTACATTTCAATGGCTATAATGCTTAAAAGATCAAACCACACCAAACGTGTACATATTTGCGAATAAGGTACCACGGGAGAGATTTGATCATTAGTTAATGAAACAAATGAATAGCTGTTGTAGCATTTATCAATTTAATACATGGCAATTACAATGGGGGATAGCGCGAACGCAGTCCCCCGCTATAAAAAATTTTACACCCGAGTTAACCACATTTGGGTTAATCGCAAGGGTCAGCGCCACCGGAGTGCAATGGTGAGCCTCGCCCTGGGAAAACGGCCTTCTTGATCGCCGTGTCTCCTGTGCCAGGTAAGTATGAATATATAACCCAACGCGCAACCCACACCTGCCACGACTGGGTACCACCACGCTCACAGCTATCTTTATGTTAGTGTCGCCCTAGAATTGAACTATCCTTTAAAGCATTGATTTTATTTGTGTTGTAATTTATTATGGGTAGATTTGATATAAGAAATAATTAGAATACAATAAAGGAAATTAGGACATAAATTCATTACAGTAGTGATATGAACCACTCCGAGTGTTTCGAGTTGCCGTTCAAATATTTAGGCTAGTAAGTAGGAAGGAAAATTAAATTACCATCCCGAAGGGATTGCGCAAGTAGTCCATTAACACTTTTCTATGTTATGTGTCCCTCAGAGGGCACGCAAACATAGTAATTTTACTTCATTTACAATGAAAGACGAATTAACTACAGAGTTGGTGCAAACCTTTTGTCCCACCTACAATTCTACCGTTTTCTGTCGGGCGAGGAAATTTTAGTTTAGTTTAGTTTGTTAATAATGCACCCCATACCCATCTTGTCGGCGGTAGTGGAAAGGGTTACAGAAGCACATAATGTGCTTAGGGACTGAACCCCGTAATACATTTAGCTAAGCAAGTTACAATCTTGATGAGCTAGTTATAAAATTAATACACATCGTCACATCATCAATGGGCTCGAGATCGACCACAAGTACAGTTTCTAAATTAAGCAACTGACATATGTGGAGAGCTATAGTGTCACAATTGATATGTTTGTCCTGCACACCGCCCCCATCCAGTGGGCAGCGGTGGATAGGTTACAATCACTTAGTTACTACCTATAGTTAGCAAACTTGAGATATTTGGCTAAAATGTCTGGTAGCAGATCATTTTGAATTAAATATTTACACATCTCTGGAACATTTGTTATAGAATTGTCTATTCACGTATCTTTTCGCACTCCAGCAGAGAAAACAAACTAAATCGGTGCCCACCCAGGCAGGGAGGAGCTGTCAGATCAGCCAAAAGAAACTATAATTTATAACTTATCAATATATTTCGAAAAGTCCATCTATGTAGTCCATCGCTCTCGACTCACAATCAATACACATCCCTTTATGTGTATTTATACCTCAATAAACTTATTTAAATTTCAATTCAAACTGTTGTGGAGGTCATAAACCCATGGAACTGCCTACCGAAGCCGTAAATATATTACTTCAATTCAAAACCCATTTCGAAAAAAATTCTTGGAAAAATGGGGGGGATACCTCTGACAAGCTGTCGGCTTCCTGTCTCCGTCGAGGCTACAGGATACATGTTAGTCTTCAGGTAGAAATTCTCCTGTTTAAAATTTATCTACATAATGACGTAGGGTAAGTGAATAATTTTGCTAACATAGCTTACATTTATTCAGATTTACAACAGCGGGTATAATACAAACTCCCAGATATCACTTGCAATATGGAATCTATGAATTTTTAAGTAAAGAAAGACTGATTTGCTGCAGTATTGAACGCGCCCAAAACAAAAATCAGCTGATTTTGGTAAACACATCACGGAGCCTTACCACACGGCCCCAGGAACGTCAGGAAGTGCCACCACCGCCACACATCACGCCTTACTCACAAGTGCTCTTACAGAACTCTATACATCTAGGCACACTCCATGTATCGTAAAGAAGAATAAGACATCTGTGCTTAAGAATACTACAGTGAAGGTGTAGACGAACCGACTTCTGCGGCCGTCATTAAAGTGACAAAGTCACTAGAAATGTTTCTCGTGGGACTGACTGGCGGTATAGCAACTGGCAAAAGTGCTGTTAGTGCCATGATCCAGGGCATGGGCATCCCTGTAGTTGATGCAGACCTCATTGCCAGGCAAAGTTAGTAGCAAAATGAAATGTATTGGTATCATGGTATATCTCGGTGGGTATGGTCAGGTCGTACACAGGCGTTTTCAGTATGGCTCGTTATTTTCTAATTGTTTAAAACTGTAAATATTGTTAGGTAAGTTTAGATAAGATCATATTTGGTTAGATTTTTGTTTGTACAAGAATGTAAGAACTCTTGAAATAGACATTGTTCTGAGATGAATGCTGTAGGTTGCGAGCTTGACGAGTGATGAAAACTGCCACTTTTATACAACTACAAATATCTTCGGTTTTACTTAAAATATTTGTCTGATAGAGGTTTTATGTATAGATTGCGTTTCTGTCTTTCTTCTGACTCATAAATAATTTTGGATTAATAAGTTATCAAGATGTTTTCAACAATATTCTTTCGGCGTTCGTCTTTTCCAACATGGGCGACCCTTTTGGAAATGCTATACTTGGGTTAACCCATCCCATAGTTGGGTCAGTTTCCAACTGGGGTTCAACTATATATATAAAAAAAAATGTCTTGGAATCCATTGGCGAACAGCCTTGTGTACAAGGTGACCTGTAGCCAACAAGGTAGGTTACTTGGAAACAAAGGCAAATTACTAGTTGGGTACAAGTTGCTTGAGAGGTACTAAGTCGATAAATCAGACCTTCACGTTGGAACACATTGATTTTTCAAAATGTTTGGTTGACTCATTGCACATATTTTGTATAAAAGTGTTTACATGATACAGTATAGTATAAATAATTACAGAATATATACTACTGTTTATTAAAAAAAGAGGCTAAGAAGTTATTCAAGAGCCCAATATTTATTGGTAGGTTAGATTGGATTATTTGGTGGTTTTTATATCTTATATACAGTACATGCATAAATATAAATATAATAACTAGATGATGAGTTGATGTGCCAACTTACAAGTGTCATAAGATGACTATAACCACTTGATTACAGTAGTTTTCAGAGTTTTAACCAAAACAATTTTGTTTTAACCAAAATAGTTGAATGTACGTTACAATTTCAATGTTGGTAGGTTCACATTCTGCATAATTAAGCATTATAGTGATGAATTAAATATGGCCACAACATGTAGGTCTATCATGATGATGATATGTTCTATTATTTTAAGGGTAAAAAATTTACAGCATGAGGCTACGTCAGGCTCTGCCTTTTCACCATACAGTGAAAAGAGCTCTAACTTCTGCCCATGTTTATCAGGTCACTTTGAATAAGGGGAGAGTATAGTCAAATAGTCAAAATGCCTTACAAACTACCCAAATATATACTACCCTGTAACTTTATCATCCATTGCCACTTTCTCTCTGAGCCACTTCCTTCCACTCTTCTATAACCCCTTTTCTGTTGTTAAGCTAAGACTAGGTTGTATAGGATGGTATTAACATTCCTCCATGTGTAATACAAGCTCAAAAACTGTTATCCTACATCACATCAGCTCATTTAAATATTTTACTTTGGTCAACTACATATCTTAAATAATGAGAGTAAGACAAATGAAGATTAGTAGCTAGAACTCCCAGATGCCAGCATACCACACAGCTGGACAACAGTAAGCACATTAGGTGCAATGAATCCCAGAAGTGAACAATAAGCTATAATGATGCTTAAAAACAAGAATATATATTATCCATTATGATATTTGGAACTATCACACACACTTTGCTCAAATGTATATTATATTTAAAGGGCAAGGGCCAAGTATAAGTGTGAAATGTTTCTCATACAAGAAAAAACAAAACAAAACAAAAATACTGTACATGGATAAGTTCAAGGTTTCATCTCAAAATATTTAATGGCTAATATAATACTGAAATGAATATAGTATAGTACTGTATAATTGTTTAGATGTGCTAATTTGTGGAGAATTTCCTCCAAAATATTAAAAAGCACTACTTAACATATATCTGGGTCCACATTCTTACACCAATTTCTTGGATGTTGGCTTGTAAACCTTTTATTATTAAAGTTTTTGAGATGAAAAATACACCTAGGGTTTTCTTTCCATCTGTTGTTTTACATGTTAATTAGTACATCAGTTAGCTGTATTGAATACAGTATGTAGTTTATACAACTCTAACAGTTTTACGTTAATTTTGATTCAAAATCTATACAGAAGCACCCATTGATGTTTGATTTGAGGATAGATTATAAAATTAATTAAAATGTTTAGCCTTAACCTGTGCACTCCTTTTTAAGTTGTTTTCCCCTGTGTGCATAACAAAATTTAAAAATTCTCTCCTCTTTATATCATAAAGCATTTATTAGAACTGAAACCCAATCCACAAATCTAAAAATAAAAGAAATAACATTTTGGTCCATCCTGGATCATTATCAAATCATGTAATGCTGAATTAAATTACACAACTTGAAAATGATCCAGTATGGACCAAAGCAGCAGCATTTTCCTTATTTTCAGATTTGTGAGTTGGGTGTCTACTTTTCAGCCACATTATTGTGAATTATTGTCTGCATATATTTCTAATATAGGGAAAATATAGAAATAATTTTAGTTTGGCTGAAGTGAAGAAATTTTGAAAACCTCAAATTCTGATCATTAATATTCAAGTAAACTATTTGTAATAGATTTCTCCTTATCATAACTATATTCCTGGTCTATAAAAATCCTTTAAATTTTGCATGGCTTCACTGGTTCTAAGCATAGGTGTCAGTAAATGGATGGTAATGCACCTTAAAGGTACCAATTTTGTAATAATGCCAAGGAAGGTAGCTAAAGGCTTTAAAGATTTTCCCCAACATGCCAAAAGATTGCCAGAGGCCTCTAGTATCAAATGATGTCTACATAGAATATCTAGAAACTTTGAATATTATGAGGCACATTAAATCATCAATAAATGATAGGAGCATTGTCAGATGACATTGAGGATGACTGTAGCTGTACTTTTTAAGTTGAGGATAAAAAATCATGGCTTACTCAATTCACCATTAATTTCCATTAAATAAATAGGCAAACAATTAATGTAACAAATAAAGAATTATGAAACTGGAAATGCACTGTACTTTTGAAGTACCTGTACTGGATAAAAAACAGAACTGCACTGCTTTATATGACTGTGTACAGTGTTCATCTTGAGTTTTCATATACAGTACAAGAAAAAATTGTTATTCTCTTGACAACCTGCTACCACTTAGCCTTGTTACCTTCCACATCTGGTTCCACCTTTTAAAAATTCCCTTCCTCACTCACTATGTCTGCCCATCTTTTTATCCTTCAACTATTTCCCTCAATTTCTCACATGCACTTTTCACCATCTACCTTTACATAAGTTCAACATGACTGAATATCTTGGTATTGTACACTCTTCTCAATCTTAAATTGGATGGCTTTCCAGTCTCTATTTGCCAAAGATCACACATGCTTCTCTGAGTATTAATTTCTTCTGCTCTAATACTTAATTTTGACATTCAACACCAATAAATCACACAGGCCCTATGGCTGCTTTAAGGGTCCCGGTAGTAGTCGGGTTCATTCTCGACACACACTTGAGAATTACGTGTTCGAATCCTGGGCAGGACAGAAATGGTTGGGCACATTTCCTTTCACCTAGCAGTAAGTAGGTACTTGACTTGTTGTGGTGTTGCATCCTGGGCGGGGTCAGTAATTTGACCTGGAGGGGGGGGGGAATCCCAATAAAAGTCTAATGTGTATGAATACACTCTGGCTTCCTGTCCCCCAACACAATGATTAATTATTATTATATATTCCCATTTTCCTTAATTGATTGTTCTTTCTAACCAGGGCATTCTTTATACCAGCAACTTACCTCACCTAAGTCACTCTACTGTACTCTTAACTTCATGCCCTGCCAGCCAAAATCACTTCTGATCCAACAAAAGACAGAAAAGCAAAGACAACTGACTCACCTTGGGCGAGGACCACCACTAGCAAGCAGGACCTATAAGGGAACAATCCCCGAGCATTCCAGGGAAGATAACCCAGGCAGTGCAAGGACAGCACTTAAGAAGCACACAGGGAAGAGAACCCTGAGAGCATGCATCCCCAAGCACTCTTAACACTTGCCTCATGCTCCACCACAGTGTACAGGAACTGCCACAAAGGCAAAAACCACCACTTTGCTGAAAGCAAAGCACTGGAGCCAGAGTGACAATCAACCTGACACACACTACCATCAGAATAGAACTGAGGGTGGAGCAGCTGGCTGACCACGGGCTGCCCCCTTCCTCCCAAATTAGTGGGGAAGGTGGGGTGAATGAGCCAACACAAATTTCGTGAATTTTTGATCATTTGTTTACATAGTTTTGGGAGTTTTTTAGGTGGTTCTCAAGGCTGTGGTCTCGTGTGAAGACAGCAGTGGTTTGTTTTGTTTCACTGACTTTCTGGGTGTCTTTCCTGGTAGGTGGCATAAATGAAAAACCAAATCAGTATGTCACCACACACTGCATCTCTGTGAGGGAACCAGGTTCTGGCTCTGGTCCTCGACAGGGTAATAGAACTCCTTGACTGATGGGACCTAGTAGTATGGCACACTATGAGAGAGAGTAGTTTCAGAGAGCCAAAAGGGGCTCCCTTCAGAAAATGTGCATGTTAGAGAAAACTGCCCTTTACATGTATTTTTCTAATTGGATTTATTAGTTAACTTGATAGTACAGTATATTTTCAGTACGCAACATTTGCAGATGAAACTCAACTGCTCTTAATATATTGTATTATTTTCTGTTGGCAGTTGTGGAACCTGGTAAAAAGGCATGGAAGAAGATCAGAGCAGCATTTGGAGATGAAGTCTTTTTAGATTCTGGCAAGTATAACTAGACAAGTTAAAATGTAGCAGGTATTTCTTAGTTCTCTTTCTCCATTTTTATCAAAGTACAATAGACTCCAAGTTGTACATGTTAAGATTTAATCAGATCTGCTTCTGCAGTATAAATTTAAACAAAATATGCTGTACTGTACAGTATTTGGTATACTGTGGTTAACTCGTAAAAATGAGTCATGTGTGCTTACAAGTGATTAGTAAAAGGAGAATCGTACTATTTTCCAAAAAACATTATTATTGTAAAAGTGGAGTCTTTAGGGCGATAGGTAACAGGGCAGCAGTGGCTGCTGGAGTTTTCAATGGTATTTTGCTCTTTGCCAATCATTGTTTCTGGCTAAAAGTTAGATGGTGCATTTCCAGAGGCTATAGATAACTTACTTACATACTTTATTTTGCTTTACTACAGTGTGTCTGCATTCAGTTTCTGCACAGGAAGAGATATTTAGGCACGTTTTAGGGAAATATTGTGAGCAGCATCCAGGGAAAGGTCAATTATTGGCCTAGGGACCATTATAACCTTGCAGAGCAACAAAGTACAAAAAGCAGCTTTTGTATATTCAACACCTGATTTTATCATAAGATCCTTAACAAAATACAGCTGTTCATGACTATGACACAGGGTCTCAAGGAAGTCATACCTGAAGCATATGAAGGCTGTCTGAAACATGTTCCTTTGAGGAAAGCCAGAAAGTGGTCCAATGTAGAAAGAGAACGCAGACGACATTACAAAAGGAGGAAGAAATTAACGGAAATGCTTAAGCAGACACGACTCTCCATACAGAGAAGAAATAATTTAAACAGGGAGATTGAAGAAATCGAACAGAGACTGAAGCATTCCTATCAGACTGAAGAAAGGCAACTAGAATAGAAAGCAATTCAAGAAATAAAGAAAAACCCAAAATATTTCTTCACATATGCTAAATCAAAAGCGAAAACCACTGCCAGTATTGGACCTATTCGTATTAGTGAAGGTTCATATACTGAGGATGACAAAGAAATTAGTGAAATCCTAAAAAAGCAGTATGAGCACATGTTTAGCACTCCGATACTCAGCATGAAAGTGGAAGATTCGGACAATTTCTTTATGAATGATACTCAAACACCTGTAAATATAACTGATATCAACAAAAGCATGGAAGATTTTGAAAGAGAAATTGACAATATGCCCATTCACTCAGCCCCGGGTCCAGACTCATGGAATTCAATATTTATAAAGAAATGCAAAGTGCCAATAGCACAGGCACTCAGTATAGTGTGGAGGAAGAGCTTGGACACAGGGAAGATACAAGATGCGCTTAAAGCGGCAGACATTGCCCCTCTACACAAGGGTGGTAGCAAAGCATTGGCAAAGAATTATAGACCAGTTGCACTAACGTCCCACATAATAAAAGTATTTGAGAGAGTGATCAGGAGTCAGGTCATTAGATTCATGGAAACCAATGACCTCCACAATCCAGGCCAACATGGATTTAGAGCAGGAAGATCATGCCTCTCACAGCTACTTGACCACTATGACAAAATCACTGAGGCATTAGAGGAAAAACATAATGCAGATGTCGTGTACACAGGTTTTGCAAAGGCATTCGACAAATGTGACTATGGAGCGATTACACACAAAATGAGGTCAATGGGTATAACTGGTAAAGTAGGACGCTGGATACTCAATTTCCTGTCGAACAGAACACAAAAAGTAACAGTCAATCAAGTAAAATCGAGTCCGAGCGCAGTTAAAAGCTCTGTACCTCAAGGTACAGTCCTTGCACCACTGCTGTTCCTTATTCTCATATCAGATATAGACGAAAACACAAGTCTCAGCTTCGTGTCATCCTTTGCAGATGATACAAAAATCAGCATGAATATTACCTCTGCTGAAGACATTGATAAACTACAAACAGATATTAACAAAGTTTTCGATTGGGCAGCAGAAAATAACATGATGTTTAACGGTGATAAATTCCAGGTACTCAGATACGGCAAAAATGAGGATCTTAAACATAATACAGGGTACAAAACACAATCGAATCTGCCCATAGTAGGAAAACAGCATGTCAAGGATTTGGGAATAATGATGTCCGACGACCTAACGTTTAGGGAGCATAACCAAGCAAGTGTTGCGTCAGCCAGAAAAATGATAGGATGGATTACGAGAACCTTCAAGTCCAGAGATCTCATCACAATGGTTGTACTCTTCAAATCACTTGTGTTGTCCCATCTTGAGTGCTGCTCAGTACTCACTTTCCCCTTCAGAGCAGGAGAGATTGCTGAAATTGAGGGAATACAGAGAACATATACGGCACGCATAGACGAGATAAAGCACCTAAATTATTGGGATTGACTCAAAGCTCTCCAAATGTGCTCACTAGAAAGGAGACGACAGAGATACCAAATAATATACACATGGAAAATACTGGAGAGACAGGTCCCAAATCTGCACAGTAAAATAACAACGTACTGGAATGAACAACATGGAAGAAAATGCAGAATAGAACCAGTGAAGAGCAATGGTGGGCACAATCAGAGAACTGTATGAACATCAGAGGCCCACGGTTGTTCAACGTCCTACCAGCGAGCATCAGAAATATTACAGGAACAACTGTGTACATCTTCAAGAGGAAACTAGATTGTTTCCTTCGAGGAGTGCCGGACCAACCGGGCTGTGGTGGGTATGTGGGCCTGTGGGCTGCTCCAAGCAACAGCCTGGTGGACCAAACTCTCACAAGTCAATTCTGGCCTCGGGCCGGGCTTGGGGAGTAGAAGAACTCCCAGAACCCCATCAACCAGGTTACCAGGTATCATTTACAAATAGGAGTCTACTGTATATTAATTTTAATAGAATGTGACTTTAAGACTGCATGCATTATTTTTAGTTTATAAAATTTGTTAACCCCTGTACTGTATTTTCCAAAGTCTTCAAAGAATCACAAGACGTTCCTGTATGTTTCAAGATGCATTAATATAATATAAATTTACTGTAATATAATTAAAAAAGCTTACCCCACCCACTAAACAGGATGGTTGAAAAACTATACCCTTGTAACACAGTTAAAGCATAAGCATGATTATCAACATAAAATATAGGTACAGTACAGTATATAATTTAAACTTAAATCTTTCTATGTTCATGTATATTTGCTTTGCTCCATAATACATAATAAAAACTGACTTTTGGGTATACACTACATCTGATATGTGTTAAATGTAACTTTTTGCAGAAAAATCTAAATGCATTCATTAATTGTACTCAGACAAATTCTTTATATTAAACAGGAGAAATTGATAGAGAAAAATTGAGCAAGGTGGTATTTTCTGATGCAGAGAAGCGTAAAACCATCAACAAGATAACTCATCCAGAGATATATAGTGAAATACGCCGGCAAGTTTTCCGCTTCCTTCTGAAAGGTAACGTGTATAAATCTGCCTGAAATAAAATTGGAAATTTGACAAGAAATATAGATTTGTCATTAATTATAGTTACTGCGACTGTTTATAAAGAGAAAATGAAAGTAGGAGAAAATACTGTATTTCACATATTTCTACCTTCATAGAAGGTATGTATTTTGTGTTAATTTGCCATTTAAAATTAATTGCCATTAATTTGCCATTTAAATGCTTATTGTTAAGAAAATGTTACTTGTTATGGGAAGGTGGTATTGCGAGGGCCTAAGGTAAAAACTAGGAGTTCCTAAAGTCAGTGGAGATCAGATAGGCCCGGTCCCCAATAAGAACATAAAACAGTATTAAATTATTGGCTTTAAAGTAAATACGTCAGTCTAGCGGTTGATCACTGCTCCACTTCACAGGAAGAATGGATACTCCTTTAATAGTACTTATTTATTAAACCCTCTAACAACCCTTCATATACATTACTATAATAACAACACTTTACTACACTATCTTACGTTAACTACCTTGGTCCACATAGGCAGGATACAAGGCTTACACTTGGACAAAACTAGGGTAAAGTCTACTTGAAGAGAGGCACTTGCAAGGCTTGAAGCAGCCTGGGGTAGCTAAGCCCCACGTGGTACCCTAGTCACAACACAGTACACTTAGGGATGCCCAAAACACTGGCTTAGATTACTCAATAACTACAACTTTTGCCAGAGACCGGTACACAGGGTTATACTTAACTTAGAGAATCACTGTAGACTTAGGTAAGGGAAAGGGAGAAGAATGGAGACAGAGCCACACAGGGAAGATATTGCCACAAGCACAGCCAGACCAGAGAAGACCGAAGGAACCTCCAGTCCCCGAGCTCTCTCTTGTTGTTGTTGCCGGGAAGGTACCTAGCTGATCGTGCAGCTACAAACAATACAAGTCTTTGTTACTAGTTACTTTAATAGTTCTAAGAATAGCTGATAACTAGTTCAATATTATATTCAATCAACAACAAGCTCAGTCTGAATGCTCTGTGAGAAACAAGATTGTTGTTGTTGTGTTGATTTAGGGGCGACGACGATCGTGGGATCGGATGCGCCCCGGCTGCCCGATACCGGGAAATAGTGAAGGGATGGGGCCCCTATAGTCTCTTCAGGCCATAGACCCTACAATCTCCTCAGGCGACAAATTTTACAGTCTCTTCAGGCCGCGGACATGACGGATGAAGCGGAAGGAATGGCGAAGGATGTCATGACGGACGTCTTCGTCTCTCGCACCTGCCCCGTCAAGGAGAACGGGAACTGTGAGGCGGGGAATATTCAGCCTACGAACGGAACTCTGTAGTCTGACGCGAGCGCTATGAAATCGAGGGTAGTGAAGTAGAAGGTGCTCCACTGTATCCTCCTGGGTCGGACACCACTGGCAATATGGGGAATCTACCAGCCGTAGACGATGGAGATGTGCGGCCAGGCAAGTGTGCCCAATCCGGAGACGAGTGATGGCAGTGTCGAGGAGTCGAGAATGATGACGAGTCCATGGACGCGGGGAGGAATCCTCCCGTAGACCCGCCAAAGAGGAGGACCTGAGTGCTGGCTCCATCATTGCCTCCCAACTCACGAGGCAAGCCGCCCGGAGTTGCGGGAGAATTTCGGAAAGGTCTAGAGGCACATTTGTAGTGTCATGGAGAGCATGCGCCATCCCTGCTGCTGCGTCGGCTACCTCATTGCCTTTAATACCGACATGTGACGGAACCCATTGGAGATAGATGGACCAACCTGGAGTAACAGAGTATGACAGCAGTTCTCCACGGATCTGTGACACAGTATGACGATGGACTCGTGGACGCCGAGATGATATCAGATGTAGGGCTGTGATTGAGTCCACGTAGATAACCACTGCAGAGGGCCCTGAAACTTGTCGAAGGAGTCGTAAGGCTAGTAAGATTGCAAACAATTCCCCGGCCAGGCACGAATGAGCAGGGGAGAGTTTCCACGTCTGACAGAAAGAAAAAGGAGCAAAGTATGCTGCCGCAGATGTAGATGGTGGCTGATCTTTGAGGGACCCATCCGTGTAAACCTCTAAGTATCCAGAGTATAAGGAGGCTCTTAGATCTGCAAAAATTAAACGGGCTAAACCCTCTAAATCCCTCTTCCGACGAGGAGGCTTGGAAAAGTCGACAGAAACTCGAATGATCTCTTCTGCCCACGGAGGCACCGGTGAGATGATCGGGCCGGGGATGAGTACAGGGACGGGAAGGGAAAACTGTGAATATGCATCCAAGGCCCGGACGACGAAAGGCAATTGACGACGTCTGGAGTGTCCAGCCGGCACATTCCACCAGTTGGCCTCGAGCTGGAGGCGAGTAAGTGGATGGGTAGCAGGGAGACGCACTATCCGTTGAAGTTGGCGGCAGTGGGCGAGAAGACGTTGAAAGCTCAGGGGCCATAGCCCCGACTCGGCATGAAGGGAAAGAACTGGCGAGGAGGGCATAGCTCCTAACGCTGAGCGAAGGGCACCATTTTGAATGGGATCCAGCCTTGCCAAGACAGATGCTGCTGCTGAGCCATAGACTTCACTCGCATACATGATCTTGCTACGAATGAAGGCCTTGTAGAGAGCTAGGAGCGACTCCCGTGAAGCCCCCCAAGCCGCACCAGAGACCCGTTTCATGATGTTCACGCGACGAAGGCATGAGGCCCGAAGGTAGTCGACATGGTGCCTCCACGTCAGCCGAGGGCCATCTAGAACGACCCCCAGCCACCTGTGTTCGGTAGCGATCGGGAGACGACAGCCCCCGAGGGTCACCACTGGCTGGTCTGGTAGGCGGGTCCAGGTGAAGCTCATGACGCAACTTTTCACAGGGTTAATGGAGAGCCCCTTCCCCAGCACAATTGCTGAGAACACAGTCACGGCATTTTGCAGGGAGCCTTGTGCCTCTAGGAGAGTGTCACCATCCGCCACGAGGGTTACGTCATCGGCATAGGCTAAAACCTGGACCCCCCGGAATACAGGGAGATCAGACAGAAGAATAGAGAATAGTAGTGGGCTCAGAATCGCTCCCTGAGGGACACCACGCGAGACAGGGCGGGACGTAGAGACGACTCCACCAACCGCCACTTTGAATGAGCGGCCCTGTAGATAGTTTTGGAACCACCTTAACGCCGGACCCGAGAGACCTAGTCGAGCCAGACTCTGAAGGACAGCAGAATGAGAAGCAGAGTCAAATGCACTCTTGATATCGAAGAATGCTGCAAGGAGCACTCTTCTCCGTCGATAAGTGTCCATTATTCGATGTTCCAAGGAGAGGAGGCAGTCCATCGTGCTTCTTCCCGGCCGAAATCCACTGATACCCTCAGGTAGGAGACCTGAGGTTTCCACCACCCATTGTAGCCGGGTGTGAACAAGACGTTCCATCAGTTTCCCGAGACATGGAAGCAAACTTATGGGCCGATATGAAGTCGGGACAGACGGATCCTTCCCTGACTTGGCCAATGGTAGAAGAATGGCGTGTTTCCAAGGGGCAGGGAAGACACCAGAGGACCAGCAGGCGTTGTAGAAGTAAAGGAGGTGGGACTGAAAGCTCTTGGGTGCCCTCCGAACAAATTCATATGGGACGTTGTCTATCCCTGGCATAGTGCCCGACTTAGAGAGTGACAGAGCGTCCTTCAGCTCAACAGATGTAAATGGGCGATCCAGGTCCTGAGCTAGTCCTATACCCTGTCGGGAGCCCCAACCTATGGAACTCACAGAGAGGAGCGGGGAACGGTAAACATCTTCAAAGTGGTCAGCCAAGAGTTCGGCTATTTGTACTTCCCCTAGGCCCCCATTACCACTGGGGTCTCTGAGTGGGATGGTAGGCCGGGAGTACCTACCTGTCATCTTACGAACAAAGGCCCAGGCTCCCGCAGAGGAGGAGTCGAATCGGAGAGAGGCACAGTAATCAGCCCAGGCCTTGCGTTTGGCAAGGAGGACTGTTTGTCTACACCTGGCGTCCGCCCTGCGGAAGGTCTGCCGCTGTAGTGGAGTAGGGTGGCGCCGCCACGAATTCCACGCACGTCGCCGGTCCAGTACTGCCTGCCGATATTCAGGAGTCCACCACGGTGCCCCACGGCGGGAAGGATTGGTTGTCTGGCCACTAGTCCTCCTGAAATGGCGAGAGCCTACACTGAAGAGGGACTCGGAGAGAGCATCTGCTGACCCATGGAGATCTGCAGTAACTGGGGGAAGGGTCAACCAGTCATCCACCTCATAGCCATGCCACCCCTCTTCCGAGAAGATCCATTTGGATCTACGGGAGGTCAGAGCAGGACGAACAGTGCCCCCGAAGGAGATGACGATGGGCAGGTGATCACTACCCAGGTACGGCCTGGTCCATATCTGCACCATCGTGAAGGGGCCTCTTCCAATGCAAAGATCGAGTGTTGAAGTATGGCCATTTAGCGGGTCTATCCGAGTTCCCAAATCTGGCGGCGTCAGTAAGGAGAGGTCTGGGGAGTCAAGGAGAAACTGAAATAGGGCTCGGCCAGCCATGTTGTGGTGGCGACCCGATAGCATGGGTTGCCATGATGAGTGCCGAGCGTTAAAGTCACCCATGACGAGGCAGGTGTCTGTGATCTGACCAAAATAGTGTTCTAGTTCCTTCTTCGTTACCGGTAGACAGGGGTTATACAGAACTCCAAAGGTGCCCCACCCATGGGAGAGGGCGACCTTCACTGCCAAGAATTCTAAATGTCCACCCGGGAAGGAGTGAATCCGGAGCAAGGAGCTGGGAACTGAGTCCCTGACCAAGAGGGCAAGTCCCCCTCCACCCCGTACTGGCCGATCTTGTCTATAGACAGAATACCCCGGCACTGTGAAGGAAAGATCGTCTGTAAGCCAAGTCTCACAGAGTCCCACGATCAACGGTGGTGCGCTGGCGATAAAATTGCGTAAAAATTGCGTCTTCTTAAAAAGGGAGCGGGCATTCCAAAACACCACAGTATTCTCAGGATGGGGCGCCATTATCCCTGAAATACAACAGCTAACTTTTTGACCACCAGTGCACAGACGTCTCCAAAGGGGGAACCACTAGAAAAAGCCATAAAACCTTCATACAAAGTAAGTAAAATATGTGGTATCAATGACTTCCAGTCAAGAGGATGTTGATCTATGTTTCTCTCTGCCTGACGGAAGCGGTGGTCGGCTCGCGAACTCTCTTGACGGCGTCTGCGACTGGTGGGAGCCTCACTCTGGGCCTCATGTTCCCCCGGTGTCACAATCCCTTCGGAAAGTGCCTGGGGGACCAGAGGATCATCAGGGCTGTCTGTTGGAGCAGTACCTCCTGATCGATGGGTGTGTCGACGACGCCGGTGTTGGCTTCTTTGAGGAAAGGCAGGAGGGTGACGAGTGCTAGGCTCCGGCCGAGACTGAGCGTCCATGTCTGTATCCGTGGATGAGTTTCCGTCAGTGTCAAGGCTACCCAGGAGGGAAAATCGATTAGCAACCTGGGCGTATGTGGCATGTGACTGGGACAGGCAAGAGCGTCTGCTAGTTCCTACTTGTGAAGAGGCCCGACCAGGGGGAACCTGGAGGCGAGAAGAAGCGATAGGCTGATTGAGGGTACGCAACTTCTGGAACAGCTCATGTCGAGGTGTCCCCGCTGTTTTGTGATCGATGTCCAACTGGAGGGCCTCAAGATATACAGGGCAACTCTTAGACGTAACCTTATGATGGCCATGGCATAAAAAGCAGCGGGGTGCAGCAGAGCACCCACCGTCATCTCTGTCTGAATGGCCAGTTTTGCCGCAGTTTGCACACCGTGCTGTATTACGGCAGGTCAGGCGACTGTGGCCCAATAGATGACAAGCGTAACATCGTAAAACAGGGAAATTGTAGGGCTGAACCTGATACGAGGTCCTGTGTAGTGCCACTCGGTCAGGGAGGTGCCCATCGAACTTTACACGGACCATGGATGTCGGCCCTGCTGCTCCGCGAATCCTGGTAACTTCCAATAATCTCACTGATGCACCCCCTAATACCTGCAGAGCGGCCTGGATGTCATCCACATCTACACTCTGGTCAATTGGGCCAATCTTCCCATACCGGGCCCGAGACTCCTCCTCCTGCGACAATACCTGTCGGCACCTGACAGGCCAGTCCCCCAACTTATTAATGTCGGATACACAGATGTGTGATAGAGCCTCCTTTCTGATATGTAGCTTGAGTGCTGCACCCCTACCCAGGGTACGTATGGTCTCAGGCAGGCAATGTGGCCACAATACGGAAGCCTCGATTGCTGCACCTAAGGTACGAGGATTTGCAAAGACGCACTGACCTGATTCTGACTGGATTAGGACTACCACAAACGAGGAACGGGGTACCACAAGACTAAGGTCTTCTGAAGGGGAGGATATCCTCTTAGCATCTCGCTCTGGGGCAGCATCAGCCGACTCATCTTCTAGCAGACGTTTTCCTCTCTGGGACTTGCTGTCAACATCCATGGCGCCCCCGCTCGGGGAGGCGTCCATTTGGGAGGCTCCGGCCTCCCCCGGTCCTGTGAGCCCCTGGGTAGCTGCAGTGAGCACACACTGGCCCAAAGAAGCCAGCTGAATTAAAGATGAGTTCCAGGTAAGGTGTGGAAAGAAAGTCCAGCCAGGAGCGTTCAATCCGCGCGCCAAGATGGCCGACCTTCCCGCCCAACCTCGTCTGTTTGTCGAGAGAAACAAGATTCATCTTACGTTTAGCAAGGATGACGGGAATACTGCAGAACCAAGCTTTAAGGGGTCCTGCATGTAATTGTTATTGTAATTAAATATCCTTCTCACATGATCCAATTCTATGAATTAATGTATAGTAATTATTTAGAGCTCAATTTGACCTCTGGTTTCCAACTAAGGAACCCAGGGTCGTAACACTTATATTATATATATAGATGAATACATAAATATCAAGTAATTAATTTTGTTATTTATTTTAGAAGCATTTTCTAATGAAGTTAGAGGAAAGTTTAGGTAAATGATGGCAGGATTAGAGTAATGATCTTTAGCTGTGTGGTTGCAAATAATGTGATAAGACAAAATATGAAGGCATTATAGATTTAATTGGATTCATTGTAGTGGAAGTCAAAGAGTCTGACTAGCCTATTTTAAATCAGTTCTTTGCACACATAGAACATTGGAGGAAGAGAAGAGTGCAAGAAAGAATTGTGATTAGAACTCCAGGAAAGATTAGAAGGGGGGATTGTTTTATGTGGGGAAAGAATTGTAATAATATATTCCTCTTGACAAAGCATTGAACAGAAGTACTGTATGGTCATATTGTACAGAAGACAATTGATTAAGCTTATTTTTCTGTGTTAGTGTAGGTTAGGCTGTATTTAAGAGCGATTAGGTTAGGTTAAGTTTGGTTAAGTATGGTTTTAAAATCAGTTGGTGAATCAACTTGTGTTGGTTCACCAACTGATTTGTGACTTATATCCTTTAAACAGGATATGGAATGAGATGAAGTTAAAAGTAAAGCATTTTCAAATGACCTACTTATTTACAAAATTGTTGTGGTATTAGTAAATGGATAGAAATAAGTAATTTACAAGTGTATGAAAGATGGGAGAACAGAGAATGTCATAATGTCATTTTTTTGCTGTTTTCCTGCCATGTTCCCCCTCTTTTTTTATTTTTTATTTTCTAAACACATTTTTTAATCTCAATTAGTATTAAGTTTTAGTCTTTAATGTTTTTCCTGCCCGAAATGCTTCGCGTAATAGTGGCTTTAGGCATTGTATGTACTAGCTCTATCTATAAATTCATCAATATTTGTATCACACCTTGTCTGTATGTACTTTATCTGAATAAACATTTGAATTTGAATTTGACATTTTTTATTTAAATAAGATGAGGAACAGAGTAAAAGTAATGTGTTAAAAATGGTTTGGTTTGTAAAGAGTGGAATGGATAGAATTGGTGGGAAAATTAATGTGCACAATAAATGTTGTGCACAGGCTAGCACATTCAACTCGTAACCGATTCTTATCGAGTTCGATTCTAGGGTAGGATGAAATGTTAGGCATGTACCCTTACACCTGATGCCTCTATTCACCTAGCAGTAAAGGTATTACATCAAGTTGCATCCTTAGGAAGGTTGTGTTCAACAATGTTTAACATTGGCCTAAAGAGACCCTAATAAGCCTAACAGGACTCCAGACTCCAACAAAGGGATATCATATCTTTGGGTGGACAGAGTAAAAGGAAAAGGGTCATATGAAAGTTAAAGGAAATAGACCAAACTGGAGGAGCATATTTATGTACATCTCCCAGTGGGCACTGTTGGTTGAAGGCTACCGATGTGATATAGTAAACAGTATGTAACGTCAGTCGCTTTCAATAAAAAGTGCCCACTGGGTTAAGGTCTCCAGGTGTTTACTAGTGATCTCTGGAAGTATTTAGTACATTACAGTACAGTATACTGTATACAATTATTAAAAGGATAATCTCTCTCATTTGTAATGTTTATATTTTCAGGAGAAAATTTTGTTGTCTTGGATCTTCCACTTCTATATGAAAGCAATAAAGTTACTCCTTACCTGTACAAAACAATTGTAGTTGCATGGTAAGTTCCCATCCCTGATTTTCAGTGCTACACATCTATAGATTAGTTAATGTCTAAGTTTGTATACTGTATATATAATTATGGGCAATTAAATTTTATTGCATTATAAACTATAGTTAGATGAACAATATGTATTAGTTGAAGATATTACTCTAGCCATGGATTACAACGTAAGTACTGTACAGTACCCTCCTGTTATGTCTTGGACATTACATAGTATACATAAGTTCAATGCAGGCACTAATATAATTTATAGTATTCTTGTTTTAGTAACTTAACCCAGGTGTTAGCTTGGAAACTAGAATTTAACTGGCACAGTTAATTGTTGTACTACTCCCAGTGTACTCTATAGTATTTAAATATTTACTATACTGTTCCTGGTATTTTGAATTTAAACTTGAATTTGATGCTGCGAGTTTAAAAGAAATTGCTTAATTTTTAAGTGAGATAATAGAACTGGAGACCTTTAACTTTTTAAAGCAAGGCAGGAAAATGATTCAGATTCCCAATGAATTACTTGTTATAGTAAAGTTAAGCAAGATAAAATGTGTAGTGTGGTGTAGCATTGTAAAAAAAAAAGTGGAAAATATTTAACTTGTATCATCCCCAGAAACAATACTGGTTTATCATTTTTAGTATGCTTGCATAAAGAAACAGTTTTAGTTTTATAGTTGCTAGACTTCTCTTGATAATTGTTGTAAACACTTTCCATTGGCAATGTTAGTATTTGGCAATATTGTATGCCCCATTTTACTTACAATGACTCGGCAAGTTATAATTCCTCAGTACCTAACATTTTGTTGCTTTACGAGATATTATAGTGAGAAAATTTCTGGCTCATAGTCCTATCTGCCACCATTGGTCTTTTTTTAAAGGACCATTTACTTGCAAGTTTCCTCTGTTTCTCCTACAGCTATGTCAATTTCTCTGGTGGGAGGCCGAATTTGAATTCAATGTCCAAAGGGTTTGGAGAAGGATGGGCGAGGGGACAGAAGGATTATGAATAGAAATTCTGGAAAAAGATATGGATGGCAGTGAGGAGGCTTGAAAGTTCAGTGGCCTGTCCACCATGGGTTGGCATCAGGTATTGATCTTGAAGGAGAACTTGACGTTGATAATGTTACTGAGATTCTGTACTGTGACAGGAGGCTTGTGGAGAGGCGGTTGGCTAGTCTGCTGGTATCTGTGTGCAGATGGCAGGCCTGTTGGTGTCAGGGTTGCCTCAGCTGGCTTGGGGGAGGGGTCTTCTTGTTGAAGGTGACGTTCTGTTCCTTAATATGGGTCTTCGAGTAGAGCCAATTTCTACTTTTGTGTGAGGTCCCGGTTGCAGAACTCTGAAGAAGTGGTTATGTAGACAGCATAACCATGATTTGTTGAGCGATATGAGAGTGGGCGGGGCCGTAGTCGTCTGTGCTGGGCTCCTATTGGGGGGACGAGGGGGTCCGTCTAATTACCCAAAGCTACCCAAAGCTTCCTGGCATTACGTTAGTAATGAATAAATATGATATATTTGCTCACTATAATGTTGATGCTGAATGTAGAACATGGAAAAACATACTTTTACTCTGAGAAAGTATCATTTCATAACGAAACTAGACGAAAATAAGCTCCTGATGACGCCAAAGAAAGTCGACGGTCCAAGCGACAATGTTGTGGAGCGACTTATCCAAGACATTGGTGCCTAAAGAGTATTTGCTGGCATATCAGCCTCCTGTACCTAACCAACCTACCCAAACTTAACCTAACCTAACTAAACATAACCTATCCTAACCTAAGTTAATATAACCTGTACACAACAATATATCTTGGATAAGTTGCTCCACAACATTGTCACTTGGACCGTCGACTTACTTTGGCGTCACCAGCAGCTTATTTTCGTCTAATTTCGTTATGAAATGATACTTTTTCAGAGTAAAAATATGTTTTTCCATATTCTACATTCAGCACCAACATTATAATGAGTAAATATATCATATTTATTCATTACTAACTAGGAAGCCAGAAAGCCAGGAAGCTTTGGGTGGTTTTGAGTGGCTTTGGGGAGCTTTGGGTAATTACATGGACCGGGGACAAGGGGCTGAGCCGGTGCAAACGTCGTCGTAGCAGAGGATGCTGGTAGCTTAGGGAATGTCGTGGTCTGGATGTTAAAACTCGCCGGTTGAGTGGATGTCCTTATACCGTTGGTGGTTGGTCTGTTGGTTGCCAACTTCTGTATTTCCTCTTGCCTGGTTGAACAGTCCATGGAGATGGCAGTGTGGGGACCTCCACAGATGATCCATAATTGGCTGGTCGACTGACAATCCTTGTAGCTGTGTCCTTGTGCAGGTTTGTGAGGGGGGGGGGGCAGGTTTGTGACATCATTCCATATTCTGTGATTGATTGGCTTTTCAATTTATCTGACTCATTATTTTGATGGCAAAGTAAAATCCTATTTACCTGTATTCTGATTTTAAATATGAGTACCCAAAATGTCTATCAGTAAAGTTCTTAATTCTGCAGATTTAACATAACAATATCTACAAATTTTCTTTAGTTTTTTGAAAAATTATCTAGCATTTAAAAACATAAAAGAAGGCCAACTGTTTTAAGCCAGGTATCAGATATACAGTATTGGGAAGATGAGTACTGTACTGTCAAAACCTTTTTTGGGGAATAAGCATTAACAGAATTTTGACCATGTAAATAGAATTTTATTTTGCCTGCCATAAAATATGTGGAGATTAAATTATCTATACAATACAGTATTTTGTTCAAGTAGTCAGAGTTTGTATTAGTCTTCATACAGTATTTCACAATGTAACTTAACTTTCAGTGATGATGAAGTACAATTGGAGCGACTAATGGCTAGAAATCAGTACACTGAAAAGGAGGCCATTTCCCGCATTGAAGCCCAGATGCCACTTGAGAAAAAATGCAGCATGGCAGATATCATCATTGAAAACTCCGGAAGTTTAGAAGCTACCAGGTTAGTAAGAGTCCTCTCAGGTTGCAGCCCAAGTCCTTGCTCAGTGGTGGACATGTATGGCATGCATGTTATGAATTTCACAGCCAGTTACCCAAAACAGTATAGCAGCCCTATCAATATACAGTACTTGTTGCATTAGGCAAAAGAAGGAAATATCTTGTAGCAGCCACATTTACTGATAGGATAGCTGTTTTAATCAGTGTGTGTCCAAGATGAGACATAACCTTGGAAAAATTATTTAAGATTGTTGGTGCAGGACAATGCAGATTGTTGGTGCCGAGTGTATAAACACCATTATTGTGGTGCAAGATTGTTGGATCAGAGTAGCGGCCCTGTCGAAACGCCAAGGCAGGGCTGGAGCTTGAAACCTCACAACCCCCCTCCCCCTCCCCAACTTCATTATACTCTCAGGTGCATATGCCAGGTGTAGCTTGTACATCTTTGGCTCTCAAAATATAGTGACACATGGTCTGTCCCTGTGAGTGTCAGGACCTTATTCTATGCTCAATATGCCACCCAAGTTGAGACCTCTGGCAGTCTCATGGAGAAGCCTGGCACAAGTCATTCAAGTTATGCATGCTATACCTCAGTGGTAGTGTATTTGTAGCTAGTAGATGCACCATCACGGTGTCCTGTGCACTATAGACTAGCTACTTGGGACCAGAATGTACGAAGCTCTTAGGTGTACACTTAAAGGATTTGTGCCTCTTAGAGCGACTGTATTTGTGAGCTCTGGGGAGTTTATGAGCTCAGAGGTTCTCACAATAATAACCTTGGGTTGAGAATAACTTTGTGCCACTTTGGAACTTTTAAACTGTTTGTTAAATACTGATAAAGCCACCATAATAGAAATAAAAAGCACAGATCTAGTGCTTTGTGAATCCTGGACCACTTTGTTTACAAGCAGACCATGTGGCACCAACAGGCACAAGCATAAAGACTGTCTGCTCCTAGCTAGGGTTAATACAGTGGTTTATCAAATAAAACCATTCCATTTAGTGTAATTTAAAGTGATATGAATACACATTGATTGGTCTTTTACAAATTGGTAGTATTAGAATAGATATAATAAGGAATTCCTTTTTGAAGACTATTTTTTATTCCCCACAGAAAGCAAGTAGTGGACATTGTCAATCTTCTTAGGTCCTCTAAACAGCACATCTATAATCGTCTCTATGCAGGAGGCTTTGTAGCTGCCACGTTAATTATTGTGTATGTATTACTAGTTTATGTACTGAGAATATTATAGAATAAAGCCAAATAATGTGGTTATTGAAAAAAAAGAGAAGTAAATACTAATGTAGTCATTACCAACCAGTGCTAGAGTAAAGCATTTTTTGCATTTTAAATGTTAATATACCTTTGTTCAACATGTATAGTACATTTTTATGTGTAAGAATACCCTGGTGGAGTCTTAAATTAACAAATACTGATAGTAGTATTGTAGCTTAAAATACAGAATATAAGCCATGGAGATGTTGTTCAGCTAGTTGTCGGTATTTTTAATAACTTTAATCCTTTCCTGTCATTTTATCCTGGCTAATGGTTTATAAACGAAATGTAATAATACTTGAAGACTAAAAATATTAAAGAAACGAAGTTTATAATCATGGTTTTAATTTTTTAAGAAAATGGATCAAAGTTAAAAACTTTATGATGGTAAAAGCTAACGAATGTGTTACTGCTTTTACTGTACTAAAGATTACTGAATGTATAGTTTGCCATACAGCCCCCCCCCCCTTTCCATCACATACTTTCCAAAATGTCAGCATTTGCTATGGAAAAGAGTCCATTCTTATCTAAATATTCACTTAAGTACTGTATTTGTAACTACGTATACAGTATTTCTCTTTATCTAGTGACGGTAATAATTTTTTATGTTCTCTGTCACTGTGTTGCGTAGTGCTTCCCATGAAACGACCCCCACATCCAGTATCAAATTTCATTTGCATTCTACTGTTGGACAAGCACTCAAATTATCATTGTTGCTATTAATACAGCTGATAAATATTGATTTTTTTTCCCAATGGTTAATAAGATATTTGCATTTTTCAGTTGACAAAAGTTTGCCTGAAATCACAAAAAACAATTATTGTACATGATTTGTAAAATGTATTTTATATGCAAAAAACAAAAACTTTTTACTATTTGTTACCTGTAAGTAAAATTGTTGTTAAATTTAATTTGTACTAATACAGTGTCCATATTTTATGTACAGTAGTTTATATTATTTTTAAAGATTAGTGATAAGGGTACTTCAATTAATTTCCTTATTATTGTATATTGTTCTGTACCACACAAAACAAAATGAAGTGAATTAAAGAAATCGGAAAACGATGAATGTACTTTTACAAAATCCTGTATCTTTTACAAACATATTTTGTACAGTACTGTAATTTACTCTAAAATGATTTATTAAGTACAGTACCAGGGGTACACTTGATCTTACGAAGTGATTGGGTGCTGGAGTTTGCTGAATCATTTTGCCATGATGCTATGGAATGTGGATGATACAATGAATTGGCAAGTTCCATTATTTTATTATCTATAATCTTTCCCTACCTATATTGCATCCCTTTTTTTCTCCAGGGTGATGCCTGCCGTCCTCATGAAAATACAAAATGGAAAAATTATGAAATACATATAATTTTCTTAAATATTTCCCCTTAATCTTAAATAATTAAAATAAACAGCTTTTCATTTTCTAGTACATAGCGTATGTAATGAAGAAAATTTGCAGTAACATGCTCGAACGTGAATGGGTGGGGGGGGTTAAGGAACACTGAATGGTTCACACGCTGCATTAACGGACAATGTAACAAATCAGGAGGAACAAATCAAGGAACTGGTGAAAGAAAATGAGGCATGGAATGTGAAAAGTGGTGACTTTGAAGAAATAAACAAGAAAATACTCATATGGTGAAGAACTTCAAGGGACCCTGAGGGCTAACATAGTTAGGTAAGGATCTGCAACTGGAAACATCATTGACAACTCACATAGAGGAGGTTAATAAAGAACTAGAAAGGTATAAAGAACAAATAAAAAGAGACGTATGCGCAAGTTGTAAAAGAGAAAGAGACGATTAAGGAAGTGTGATTAGAAATCAAAACCAGAAATGACAAACAAGAAGTGGATCTTAGGCAAGCAATTGGGAAAGAACTTGTAACCAATAGTAAATTAGTACAAAACACAGCAGGTAGAAGTAAGTCCATAATAATTTTTGGATGTTTAGAGAAGGAAATTTCATCTAGGGTGGACAGAGAAATTTCATGTAGGAGGATAGGAAAATATGAGAAAGACAAGAACCGCCCCTTAAGGGTAATGTTTAATGGAGTGAAAAACATGATGGAAGTGCTTAGAAATGCCAGAAAATTGCAGTGATGAGGATGGCAAACTTTGGTCAATAAGACAAGACCTCTCAAAGGAGGACAGAGAAAAGCTGAAAATTAACCTCATTGAAACAAAACGTCTAAATGGGGATAGAAATGAAGAAGACAGAAATTCTTTTTTCTACAAAATATTATGGACTGGAAAGCTAGTGAAATGGTACATGAAGCCAAAGCAACAAAATCATTAAAGGAAGGGGGTGTAAAGAACAAAGGGAAAGGGAACATGTTCCTGAAAATAGTATATACCAACATAGATGGAGTGAGATCGAAAATATTGGAGTTGAAGGATACAATTCAGCTCAAAGTCCCAGATATTGTCACATTAACAGAGACGAAACTTGAAGAAAATATTTTAAATGAGGTCGTATTCCCAAGGGGCTATTCAGTTTGGAGATGTGACAGGAAAACTAGGAAGGGGGAAGAGTGGCTGTGCTGGTGAAAGAACACCTGAAGGTAAGAGTGTTACTAATTGAAAACCCCTCGAGATATTGACATAATGGCATTGCAGGTCTGGAATCAGGATGATAAGCTGATGAACAAATGTAGTGTAGTGTAGTGTGATAAGCTGATAATTTTAAATGCCTGCAGCCCACCAACAAGCAACACATGGACAAAGGAAGAACTGGATGACAAACGAGAGGGCCTCATAATGGTCATGAGAGAGATTATGGTAAGAACAAATAACGATAAATCCCGATTATTGGTACTGGGGGACTTCAACCTTAAAGTAATGGACTGAGAGGCCTACGAGGCAAGAACGGAGGAAATTTGGACAGGCAGATTTGTAAACCTCATTTTGGAGACATTCATGTATCAACACGTCAAGCAGGCCACAAGAATGAGGGAAGGGGATGTTCCGTCAGTACTGGACCTAATATTCGCCATGAAAGAAGAAGAGGTATTTGACATCCAGTACCTTTCTCCCTTGAGAAAGTGTGATCATGTTCTATTGGACATTCAATATGCTTTGCAATATAATCTAGTAGAGAATGGAGACATTGAAACAGTTGTTAAACTTGATTTCAAGAGAGGACGCTATGGGGAACTCAGAAAAAAAATTCATGGGTATAATTGGACAGATTTGTTGCTAGACAAGGAAGTAAATGATATGTATGCCAAATTTTGCGAAATATACGATGAAGGCACACAAACATTCATACCAAAACAGAGATGCAGACCTAGGAAACAGGGTTGGTTCAATAAAAGTTGCAAGAGGGCCGAGATCAAAAGACACAAACATGGAAGCATTATAGGAAGAGGCTAAACCCCCAAACATACCAGCAATACAAAGATGTGAGAAACAACTACATGACAGTAAAGAGAGAGACAGAGGAACTTTAAGAATGGTATAGCAGACTAGGCCTTTCTATAGATTCACTAAAAGCAAGCTGCAGGTAAAGGATGATATTCAGAGGTTGAAAATGGGAGACAGATAAACGGAAAATGAAAAGGAAATGTGTGAAACATGAAACAAAAAGTTCCAAAGTGTTTTTATACAAAATGAGATCTTCAGGGAACCAGACACAATAAGAATTCCAAAGACCAACATAGAGGTGTCTAGAGACGAAGTGAAAAAAAATGCCCCTGGAGCTAAGTAAGAACAAAGCAGTTGGCCTAGATGGAGTTTCACCATGGGTTCTGAATGTGCACCTGAGCTCAGCATTAAACTTCAGCTGATTTTTCAGGCATCCCTGTGTACAGGAGTCGTAGCAGATGTGTGGAAAAAGACTAACATAGTTCCAATCTACAAAAGTGGCAGCAGGGAAACCCCCCCCCCCCCCTCAATTATAGACCTGTATCATTGACAAGTGTAATAGTCAAAATATTGGATAAATTTATAAAAAATTAAATGGGTAGAACACCTGGAGAGAAATGATATAATATCAGACAGACAGTATGGTTTTCGATTTGGAAGATCCTGTGTATCAAATTTAATCAGTTCCTATGATCGAGCCAGAGAGATTTTTACAGGAGAGAGATGGTTGGGTTGACTGCATCTATCTGGACCTAAAAAAGGCTTTTGACAGAGTTCCACATAAGAGGTTGTTCTGGAAACTGAAACATATTGGAGGGGTGACAGGTAAGCTTCTAACATGGATGAAAAATTTTCTGGCTGATAGAAAAACGAGGACAGTATTCAGAGGCAAGGTATCGAACTGGAGAAATGTCACATGTGGAGTACCACAGGGTTCAGTTCTTGCACTGGTGATGTTCATTGTCTACATAAATGACCTGCCAGATGGAATACAGAATTATATGAACATATTTGCTGATGATGCTAAGATAATAGAAAGGGTTAGAAACTTAGATGATTGTAATGCCCTTCAAGAAGACCTGTACAAAATAAGTATATGGAGCACCACTTGGCAAATGGAATTTAATGTACATAAATGCCATGTTATGGAATGTGGAATAGGAGAACATAGACCCCACACAACCTATAAATTACTGTATCTGGAAAATCTTTAAAGACTTCTGATAAAAAAAGAGATCTAGGGTTGGCTCTAGATAGAAAACTATCACCTGAGGACCACATAAAGAACATTGTGTGAGGAGCCTGCTACACTTTCTAACTTCAGAATTGCTTTTAAATACATGGATGGCAAAATACTAAAGAAATTGTTCACGACTTTTGTTAGGCCAAAGCTAGAATATGCAGCGGTTGTATGGTGCCTATATCTTAAGCACAGCAACAAACTGAAAAAGGTGCAAAGACATGCTACTAAGTGGCTCCCAGAACTGAAGGGCAAGAGCTATGAGGAGAGGTTAGAGGCATTAAATATGCCAAAACTAGAAGATAGAAGAAAAAGAGGCGATATGATCACTACGTACAAGATAGTAACAGGAATCGATAACATTGATAGGGAAGACTTTCCGAGACCTGAAACTTCGAGAACAAGAGGTCATAGATTTAAACTAGCTAAACAAAGCAGCCAAAGAAATATGAGAAAATTCACTTTCGCAAATAGAGCGGTAGATGATTAGATCAATTTAGGTGAGCAAGTGGTAGAGGCCAAAACTGTCAGTACTTTCAAAGCATGATACGACAAAGTGTGCTGGGAAGACGGGACACCACGAGCGTAGCTCACATCCTGTAACTACACTTAGGTTATTACTAAATACATTACTGTAATAAAAACAACTACTAATGGAGAAATGTGGGTGTTCAAAATTATACCTAAGAGTATTGTTTTTGGCTTTACAGTAATGCGAAAAGGGGTTAAGGGCAGACAATGTTAATTTGTAATAAGAAAAATGGCATGGCACATATGTTAGAAGGCAAGAATTTATAACCACAATTGATTACCCAGGAAAAAGTATTATACCCATGCTTCTCAACCTTTTTAGACTCTGCCATATTTTCTCTCAAAAGACTTGCAACCCCCTGCCACACACTCAACGTATATTGTATGTTTAATTGCATCAGTCTCAGCAGTGTTTTATGGATAACTAAAACTTGACTGACTTGGTGGGTTGCAACCCATTGGTTGACTACCAACCAGGAGACTTTATCAGATACTGGGCTGTAGGGATATTGATCCCTGGAACCAACACAAGGTAAATAGGTAATTACAAACTGGAGCCTACATTGAATAAGGGTAAAATCACTACCACTATAGAAATAGGGAGACTGAAATAAAGCCAAGAATAAACTTTAGCTGGAAAACAGATGATTCCATTAAGTGCAATCAAGACTTTCTTAACATTTCCTTAGAAGATTATCTCTCACATTAGCAGTAAGAGGAGAAACCAGTCCTGATATGCACCTTAGAAGTACAGAATGAAAGGAAGTTAAACGTAATAGCAACATAATGTACATACAAAAAGAATGTAATTAATATTTTACCTTTCCAGTTCTCCCTGGCTTGCTGCCTTCATTACATAATTACTTGCTTACCTTTTGTCGAGTGTGGCTATTACAGATTTATCCACAAAGTATTCCATAT